GTAGTGTGTGCAAAATTCACTGTGGCTTTACCAATTGCCCACACAATGCAAACTGCCACTCTTCCCTCCAAGGGCATGTGGCGAGAGTCTCTCACCTCTACCCCAAGCCCTGTGCCCACCAAAAAAGCTACAGAGAAGAGCACAAGTGGCAGGCAAGAAGGGTCTTGCAAAACAGAGGTGGATCTGTTCTTCCCTCCAAGAAAGGAGGAAAAGCAGTGGAGAGTGTGGGCTGCCTCCCTGATCTCTCCTGCATGACTCCGTGGTGAGTACTTCATCACTGTCAAGTGTTTCAGCCAAACCCTCTGCCTTTCTTTGCAAGAGGTTACTGACACGGGTGAGTTTTTCTCCACAAGTGCCTTTGACAGAGTAGGAGAACCTCTGCTACATCTGGTTGTTTGCAGGGGTTGTGTTGGTCAAAAGTGATTTTCTGGGAAGTAGCAAAGATCATCTCTGTTCTCTGACAATGACCCAGCAGTTCCTAACTCGTGTGCAGAGCTTTCCTCTGCTGCCTTCGAGGGCCAGCCAGATCAGACTCGGGTCTGGAAACAGCCCCGTGACACAGACATTACAGCATACCCTGCTCTCCACCCGGGGACCAGCCTGGGGTCCCTGGTACCAACTGAGGCAAGGGAGGAAGAGGAAATACAGTGAGGACTGGAGAGGGCCCTTTCTCTCTGTCTTAGGATAGGGCTTTCTAGGACTGCCCCTCCCACCCCCCATTGTTTTCCTGCTCAAACGGTATTATTTCCCCATGGTTGTTCACGTGATGCCAGTATTTCACCATGTCTGATTTTTATGTTATCATGTGGTTTGTGCTGGCACGAGATAAGGCGAAGAGAGGACGTCACTGTTTCATGGAGTGTGGGCTGTACTATATTTTCCTCTTGGATTAGGCCAGGCTGGGCTTGACTTCCCAAGATCCCAAAGTGACTACATCCTGCCTGATTGCAGCCCCTCCTTTCCCAGAAATCATCCTGTGGAATAAGCCCTGAATAAAGAGTTTCCTGTCTCGCCTTTAACCCTTTTCCTTCCACCAAAGCGCTCTATGACCCAAGGCCTGCTCCAGAAGGCATGGATTCATTGCAATTCCCTCTTCTTGGCCACTCAGAGGCTGTCAGAAGCCCAAAATGACAGCACTGGAGTGCCAGAAGCAAGTAAGTCACCTGAAATTTCACACCTGCCATCACTGCTTTCATGGCAGCTGGCGAGGCGAGAAGTTGATGAAAGTCCCACTTGGCCCAGGCTGAAAGTCAAAGCAACTGTTGGGCTTTTCAGGGAATGTCCTTCCCTGAAGTAGGAAGGCGGGTAGAAAACCTGCTGGCAGCTGCCTGGGGGCACCTGCTGCCTTGACGAGGAGGCATTTGTGCTTTTTGCATGCTGTTCTGTTCTTGGCAGCACCTTTCCTGAGCTTGAAAAGACATTGGCCATCACCAGCTGTGGAAACACTTTCTGGGCTGTGGATTTCTTTCTCACCACTGGAGCCACAGATGAACTGTGTTGGCCAAGTCTGCCTCCCTTCTAGGTGAGATTTAATAGTGCCAGGTAAGTAGCAATAACCATCCAGCAGGTTTTGACTCCACTGGTGAAATGTAACCTGCAATTTTGCTTGTTTCTCCCTAAAGGCGTGCATGAGAGAGCCCACAAACCAGGCCAAGGAGCTCCATAGTACAACTGTGCAAATGCTATGGCTGACGGGGCTCTGATGTCTGCGTTTCTGCCCTCCACCAAGCTTCTGCTGCCCACTACCAACATGTGGATGGCCTGCCTGTCCATGGGCAAGCCCACACTGTATTTCTCATGTAATGTGAGTTATGGCTCCCGTGGAGCAGTGATCTTGTGAACCTTTCTGTCCCTGACTAAAAGCTCACCACAGCAACTTGCTCCTCCAGGTCTATGCACTGAAGACCCTTCACCAAATACCCACCACCAGCCACATGTTAGCAGCATGCCCAAGCCAAGAGGAGGGAGCCAGCCCCCTGCAAGAACCAGAGGAATCCAAACAGGAGCGAGACTCAGAACAAAAACCAGACTCACAGAAAGTTGAGTATGTTGCATTGCACAGACAGTGTATGTTTTAGTCTGGCCTCCTGGCCCTAATATCCTCTGACAGCTCCCAGAGCAGGAGCTGAGCAGGTTAGTGATTTGATCACGACACCAACTCCTGCGGGAGCTGCTGCTTCAGAGTCCCCGCTGCCAGTCCTCAGCAAAGCACGCAAGGAGCTGCAAAGATGTGCAGTCTCCAGAGCCTGTAGCAGCGACCTGTCTTCATGAGTGAAGAACTGCTGGCCAAATGCTGGGTCCAGTCCAACCCTTGAAAACTGGAGCTCTGGAGGGCAACTTCAGCCAGGCCCTGATAAATGACTGCTTGTTTGATGGCTAATTGCTTACAAAAACAGAAGGCACAAACCCAACTCGGGCAGGTCTTATACCGTCCATATCACCAAGGGCCACAGAAACACCCACCCCAATTCAAACACTACTTGTCTGTTTGAGACTTTAAGTGAAATTTTGTTTGTAAGTCCCCTTCTCTTAGACTGTAGATGTAAAAAGCTAAAGCCACCCAGGTAGCTCAGGTCATCAGGAATATGTTAAGTTACACCACAAAAGCTATCCCCTTGCCAAGCAGCAAACACGCAGAGCTGTGAAAGGACATGCGTGCCTCCCAGTTAATGTCACCTTCACAGCTTCCCTAGGTCACGGCACAAGCAGACATCCGCGCTAAAATAAGATGCCAGGCAAAACACATATCCCATTTTGAACAATGCCACAAGCCCAGAGAAAGCTTAGGAATTTAAGGGAAATGGAACAAGAGGAAACAAGGGAAGTCCCTCCAGCAAAGACCCTGTGGCCCTTCGGTGGTCGCGCAGCGCTGCACCGTATAGAGGAGCGCCTGGCAGCAAGCATTGCCATGGCCATTACCACCAGCACAGCAGCTCTACAAACAGCAAACAACAGACAGCTGTGTTCACAGGCACTGAGACAGAGACACATCCACAGCAAATAAAATGGCTTCCTGAAGATCCTAAAGGCCTGGACACACTATGCCATCGTAACTGGTAATTCATACCCTAATGAAGAAAAACACAGTGACCAAGAATCAAGCAACCTGGAGAAGCACAGGGTAGGGTTTTACCTGTATCCTGGACTAACATTAATTATGAGGATAGATGTAACCTGTAAATCACTTCAAGGAAGGAGATCCCTTTCAGGGAGTCTTTGTCTGGCCTAAGGGATATATGGGAGAGATAGAGGACTAATCCCACCCAAATGTGGTCTCACTCCTGCTGCCTCTAGAAGTCACAAGGGATGAAGGCTTGGAGAAAGAGAGGGAACTGCTTTACAGTCTCCTTTCTGGCAATAAAGTCACTGTAAGATCTCAGGGAAAGCTGCTAGAAGCACCAGCTCTGGTCAGGACAGGAGAAACTGGGTTGCTCTGACTGCAGCAGGGTAGGAGCCATGCTGGCCTGAGCCACTCTCTCCAGAGGATGCTACAGGATGCCATGCATGTGGGGGACAACAACAAGGACAGGCTGGGGACCCATGTGGTGGTTTAGCTCTCAAAACAGCTCCTGCAGGGATTCAGAGCAGGGCATTTGGGGCTAATCTCTATGTCCCCTCAGGGAACCTGAAGGATTACTGCTCTACATCTGCTCACATGGTTGGGCCCCACCTTGTCAAGGCGGGGGAAGCGCTGACAGCCACTCTCAGTTCTTTAATAGGTTTGGGATAAACAGCAATGGGCCCTGTCCACTGTGGCACAGCACCTCTTGGCTTCCTTCCTCACAGGCCTGATGGCTTCTCTTGAGCCTTGCCTAGGGCAGGGATGCATCTCATGGTTTATCATCAAGGGCTGGCTCCTGGCAGCAGCTACAGAGAGCCACAGTGCAGCTTCTTTGGCTATGTCAGGGGTTGGGGAAGGGTGGCCACAGGGGTGCCTGGCCATCACTGGTACCTGGCCAGAACTAGCCTGTGTTAGGGTCTTTGGCTACAGCCCAAGCCAGGGTGGGAGTGGAGTCCCTAGACAGCAGTGACCATTAGTCCCCAGAGCTGTGCTTCCACCCGTTAGCCCACGGTCTCCTGCACTCAGCTAACTTCCCAGCAGAAAGGGCTGCAAAGGACCTGCATGGGCGGATGGGTTTGTGCTGCTAACTATGCACCAAGATCACCTACCTGCTTCTTTCTGCTCTCCTCTTCCTCCTGAGCATGCCTCTCACAAAGCTCACTGCTGGTCCAGGCACCTGCTTTACAGGACACATCGCTGAGCCTTCCTCCCCTCCTTCCTTTCAGGCCTGGGGGTGCTGGTTTGGGGTCCAGCTCTGGCTGTTCTAGCTCCCGGGCAGTCAGTGCCATCTGCTGGCTACTCTTTCCTTAACTGCTATAAAAACATGGAAAGCTAAATAAGGGACAGCCTTGCTATCTAGCCAGCCCAACCCCTCACATTCTGCTGCTGAAGCCATATCCACGCAGCTGACCTATATCATTTAAATGACATACGCTTCCAAAAAGGGAGCATCACATTTAAAACATTTTATTAGATATTGCTACAAATATGAAAATACATATAAAATTCTAAGTCAGAGATTTTATTTATGATTATAATTTAAACATAACTTAAGAAAGACCTTTGCATCTGAAGTCCTTTAACAGCTTAGTAAATCATACTTGACATATATATACACAAATCTCAGGCTTCCATTTTATTTGTAAATAATATGCAGACATGAAATCCTTACAAACATCTCTCAATTATTTTAAAATTACCTGAGCCCAGATCAATGGCCACAGACATACTCAGGAACATGTATTTTATGATACATTTACAGTTAACAGCACAGAAATATCCACAGTAAAAACCGCACAATTAAATATTTATGCATACACCTGTATTACAGTGCATAATCCCACAGGGATGAGATCATTTCAGATCTACTTGCTGCATTCAGAAACCAGAGTACCTAGTATAAACACTACGATTCCAAGTGCTATTACAAAAAAAAAAAAAAAAAGTTTTAAGTCCCTAAGCTTTCTGGGACATGCAGCAGAAAACCAAATAATTGCCTGTATCACTACAGGCATATTTGACTAGGACATCTTCTTAAAAAAACCTGACTTCAACAACAAACCAGATCAGTGGTTTCAAAGCTGAATATTCAGTGAATACTTTTTCTTCCTGATCATTCTGTTTCTGCAAGTATAACCCATATGTCTCCAGAGAAGACATCTCCAGCAGTGTAGTAAGTGATGTGAAATAATGCATGTCTTCACCTCACCTAGGTACCTTTGAGTAGACCAGAGGAGAAACCAGCCTCCTCTTTAGGCAGCAGCTTACTATTTGCTCACCATCTGGACAAGAGATGGCAAGCTCCCAGTTATGATAACTACATGACTGAATGTAGACAGTATTTTGCCAGAAAGCCAGAATTTTACTCTCTGCTTGTCTTCAGTGGAAATACCAGACAGCTTGAGTTCAAAATTTCTGAACAATACACAAGGTCAATCATCTTGTCAGCAAGAGGTAAAAACATCTGGACAGCTGCTGATTTGCATGCAGTTTCATTCTCCGGAAATCTGAGACATAAGTAAAGATGGCTTCAATTCCTGCAGAGAGAACAAAATTCCTCTATAACTTGGAAAATTGGCATAGATTTGTATTGCTCTCATTTCAGAGGAATTTTGTATGCAGCAGGTAGCAAAAATGCACAAAAGTGTTCCTAATACTATATGCAGCTGGACAGAATGCTAAGCAGAGTCATCCTTAAGGAGCTGAATAACCATTTCTAAAGCAATAAATACAGCAGTCTTGCTAGGAACTTCCATGCAATGCCAAGATGCATATTAGGTACCCCAAAGGACATATTGCTATTTCAGCAATTAACAGCTCTGATTGCTTGTGTGATTAAACAGAATTGCATTTGTGAGTGCAGCTACCTCATACGCTTACCTGAAACACCTGGAATTAGACATTCTGGCCAGCACTTTGGAAACTACCTTCAGTGGTTAGGCTCTGGCAGCTGCTATAAAAAAACAGAAATGAAAAGTACTTCAATGACAACTGGTTTATATCGAATACATTTTAGCAAAATGATTGCAGTGTTTTTCATGCTGCTTTTTGAGACACAACTTACCTGGAAGGTGTAAATTTCTTTACTGCAAGAAAAATAAGAAAAGGTATTAGCACTTCAAGATGAAAGACCTCTCATGCAAACTTTTTCTTCTACTAAAAAAACTCTCATTTCTGAGTATCTGATAAAAAGCCCTTATCTAGCAACAAATCTCACAGACAGTTATTACTGTGTTGTCATTAGCCTGATCTCAAATTCCCATTCACTTTCCCTGGCAGTAATTACCAATAAATAAAATGTTGCTTTTTTCTTCTAATTCTTATTTTACAAACATTTGGGCTTTACTATTTTTGACTTCTCAATGTTCATCCAAAAGCTAAACATGGCATGTATGCAGGCTTCTCGAAAATAATTTTGGAATTTGTTTAAGTATGGAATTTTCACTTTTTCAAAAAGCAAAGTATTTGGGGTTAGAGAGGTTTTTTTCTCCACTGAAAATTTTTCGGGAAGGTAAATAAAACCAGTGGACCCAGTCCAATTGCTTACCTTTTCTTCGGAAACGTCTTGCAAGCCAAAGGAGGAATGATGCTGTGGACAACAGAGAGGCACTTGTGGCTGCTATGCCAACAGAGACATAGCTGACTTGTTCAGAAGCTGAAAGGATGAAAAAGTTTCAGTGAGATCAAGAGGCATGTGTGGTCTTTGAAGCCCTCTACTTCTTCCTTTTCCTTGGGTTCTTCAAGAGGAACCAGAATTGCAGCTTGTAACATTTAAGTTTTCTCTCGCTGAGACAGGACACATCCTGTACACAGGGTAAAAAGCTGCATACTAAAAATTATCCCAGCCATTACTGAAGCAATGGCAAGGGAAAAAACTAGCTATATTAGGGTCTGTCTAACCTCCAGCCTCACATGGGAATTTATCCTCATCTTTTATTTTTCATGTTTCAGTTCATATTTTAATTCCTACTGTGCTGTCTTCCTCTTTGAGCAATCCTGCTGAGATCAATGGAATTATTCAAGGCTCTAAATTCTGCTCAAGCAAATAAAGTGGAGTTGAGCTTTTAGGACCTGAGGAGAGCGACAGAGCTCTTACTGCCTTGACTGGGAAGGCCAAGCTGAGACTTCTGCCCTGTAAATGACAGCCTTTGACAGAAAAGCTCTGTGAGGTCTTTTGGCTGAGGAGTTCACCTAAGAAACTATCACACCAAATTAACAAATCTGTAAACTTTTCCACTGAGAAACACACTTACAAATGAAGATTTCCCCACAAAGTTCTGTTTCTCTAGAAAAGTTTTTTTCTTTATTCATAGGTAAAAAGGTCAACATGAGAAATATTTTAATTAAAACCAAACAAAACAACCTGAAATCAGGTTGCAGCTTCTGGTTTTGGATAAGAAATCACAATTTTTCACCAAGACCTTTTAGGAATTTTCCCCTCTTCTATTAAAAAACTACTGAGAGATTTTGTTGAGCTTTTTAGTTAATGGACTTCACTAGAAGTTCTAGCTCCCTGGTTGATGTTACCTCCTCCACCCTTTCATACCTCATTTGACTAGAAACCCAGTGCCACCTCTCTGTGACTAGTCACAGGTAAAATACCTTCACATGTGGGCAGACGGGCACTCCAGTTTCCTGAATGACTGCACTCAAGAACATGAGAACCATTGAGCATCCATCCTTCTAGACAGGTGAAGTGGCAGGTTGTGTTGTACATGAAGTTCCCAGCACCATGTGAGCAATCCATAGAGCCTTTCTCAGGAGAGTTCAGTGGTTCACACTGCACAACTGAAATACAGAAAGAAACAGTTAATAGTCAATAAGGACTTCCCTGTCTTTGGCCCAGTTTTTTGCACTAGTACACTGTATTTTCAAATTCATTTGACTTTGGGATGGGAGCAGTTCACGGAGTCCTGAGCAGGCATTTCTAAGGCAGGGCAAGTCACAGGTGAAAACATGAGAGCTTAGTTTGGACCCAGGACCCTATAGGAATATGGATTTCAGCGTGTTGTCCAGTGACAAGAGTATTTGCCAACCCAGTAAAACTTACCTTTGCATTTTGGCAGTGGCTCTGACCACTGTCCCTGTGCCGTGCACTCAATGCTGGATGGACCATCCAGAACGTAGCCCTCGTTGCAGTGGAAATCACAAAGCGAGCGATAGGCAAGATCTGCAGGAGCATGGTCACAGATCACAAAGCCTTCTTCTGGCCAGGTTACAGCCTCGCACCTCACAGCTGCAACACATGGATCACAACAGAAATCAGCACAGATGACTCAGGAATCCAGCATGCCAATGCTGACAGCCCCAACTGCTCAGGAGAGCAGGGATAAGGAAAGGTACCTGCACAAGATGGCTGCTGCCTGTCCCAGGTCCCAGAAGACCCACACTGCAGCGTGGCTGGTCCTGTCAGGGCAAATCCTTCCTCACAGGTGAACTCGCAGGTAGTACCCCAGGTGAGCTCCACAGAGGGATGGGAGCAGTTCACAGCACCATGAGCAGGCAATTCTAAGGCAGGACAGGTCACAGCTGAAAAGCAAAAGAGATAGCACAGAGCTTAGCTTGGAACAAACCATAAAAAATTTTTCTTTCCTGAAACTTAGCGACTTACCCACTAAATGGAAGCAGCTGTAGAAAGGAGATCTACTATGCTGCCATTTCAGGAAGAAGGTAAGAGTGGAAAGATATCAAAATGGAAGACTGACTCTTAAGGCAAAGCTGTAAATTCATCTGCAGCTCATGACAGCAACTAGTTACAATCCAAAATTTTCCCATTTTGTCTGCTGCTTGGCGATGTTTGATGCTTTTATTTGCTTCAAACAGTAGTTTAATCTAAGCTGAACACCTCAAAAAGTAATTCCTACAGTCAGGACTAACTGTCCTGTTGTGAGCAGTCTCACAACTGGATCATCTCCATTCCCTGTTCCCCACTAAGATGGGGAAAAGTCTTTCCCTACAAGGAAATCTAGACAACGGCCAAGACATTCATCCTGCCCATTTCATCTCTTCAGGAGCAAAGAGACCTGCGTGTTACAACAAAGTAGAACCTTCACCATGTAGTTAATTACGAATGAATGGGCCAGAACTTCAATTTGTACCTACTAATAGAGCAACACTGAAGTTTACAGAGCTATGTATAATGTAGAAATCTTGAGAAGCTCACCTTTGCATGCTGCAAGAGGGGCAGACCAGACCCCAGAAGAGGTACAGTATACAGAGTCCAGTGCAGTCAGTTCATAGCCTTCCTCACACTGAACTGTGCAGGACGAGTTGTAGCTGAAGTTCTCCAATGGATGGTTGCACTTGAGGCTCCCATGATCAGGTTTCTTCAGTGGATCACAACTCTCAACTTCAAAGAAACACAAGAAGGTACGCAGTCAGTCTCACTGGCAGAGCAGGTAAATCAACAAGCCAGACAAACTGAACACTAGCTAGCATGACTATTGCCCTGGTTGAAAATGGAGAAAGGATGGAGTAATCTTACCAAACTCGCATTCAGGCCCATAGAATCCAGGGTTACAACGGCAGGTGTGATTGTTAATAGTCTCTATGCATTCTCCACGGCCACTGCAGAGAGACGGGTTGCAAGAAGCTGGAAAGGAAAAAAACACAGCAAATTATAAAAGAATTGGAAATGGCCACTAATGAAACCTGACTAGCACTTTGTTTATCTTTCTGGCACTAAACAAGCACTTTGTATAGCAAAAGAAAAGTAGGGGGTTTGGTACATAATCAACACTTCTGACAGACTAGCTCACAGTAAAAGGATTCTAATAGCTGGAAACTCCATGACCACCTGTTCTCAGGTAGATATCAACAATATTTAAAATGTAAAAGGAAAAATATACTATGGGGTAGGTAGAAATCCTCAACAGGTACATTCTTCATTAACTCACCACAGCTCTAATGTGGCTGATATTTGACTTGGACTTTTTTTAACCTACCCTTAGCCACCTCTACACAGTGTCTAATCTAATCCAGTGGTCTATAATCAGTAGACAGATGCCTCTACAAGGGCAATTCTTATCTAGCTGAGACACCCACTTGAGAGTGGGATGAAAGTCACCACCTGGAAGAGCCTGTTTCTCTCTACTGACTATAGAGCAGGTCTGATGATTTGCTCATAAAAGACATATAATATTCTGGGAGCTAAAAGGTGAGATCAGTCCAGCTCTTAGAACAAGAACATCCTCAGCCCTGTAAGTAAGGATAAGTGTACAAGTGCTTACAGGGTCAGGTAGTTAATGTGTAAGACTAGGTTAAACAACTTATCCCACCCAGCATCTCATCTCTACAGAGGCACACTAGAATAGTCTTTATCACACCATACCTGTGTAGCACAAGGCAACCTTCTTTTTCTCACACTGTTCATCATTCCATTTGCCATCATCCTTCCCTCTTTTGATGTAGATTTCAACGCAGTCCTCGTTGTTCCCTTTGCCATTTGGCTCACCTGAAGCCCAGTTTTTTGCCTCTTCTGTCAGTTCTTTGTTAGTTCCAACCCAGGTCCACACCTCGTTAATTTTTCTGATTCCAATCCAGTAGTAACCCGGATTGAAGGGTAAGAAGTTATTGAGATAGTTGATTTCCTCCTTATTCTGAATGGCAACCATGTTGGTATACCTCTTTTTGCACCACAGCTCTGCTTCCCTGTAGGTCATGTTTGTGTCTGAATAATGGTATGTCCAACAATTCACTCCCTGCAGTATTGTGAGTCCTAGAATTAAGAGATGTCAAAGAGTTGGTGTCTGACTTTTGACCTTCTCTCTCTCTAGAAGAGGATATACAAAGCTCTATGAATATTGCAATCTTATCAATATCTGAAACTGCATAAAAAGTACTGGCAATTATTTTATAAACAATCAACTGGCAAGCTTCAGAACAGGCTTGTCAACATCAAGTACAGGCATTTCAGCCTGTGAAACTATGTCCAGTCACACAACACTTTGCAGATTTCACAGAAAACTATAGGAACCAATTATATATTTGACAGGCATGCAGGGAAACATGCCATTGCAGCTAGAGCTTTTTCTATGTGAACCTAGTCTCAAGTTAATTAGGTCAGGTTCAAAAATTCTGTTTAATTCTGAGCGCAAACAGAAGTCACACTAATATTACTACCCTACTAGTTTTCTATACAGAGAAATACACACTTACCATAAGCAAGAAGAGATAGGAACCACAAGCAAATCATGTTTCCGGGACTCTTTTCTTCTCTTTTAAGCAGATGGCTATGAGAGATTAAAGGGACACATTTGTAAAGAACAAATACTGACTTTTTATAATTCAATTTAAAATAATGTCTATGCAATCTTCTCTACATACATTTTAACGATTATTCTAAAACTTAAATTTAAGATTTCAATTTTTAGTAAATTATTCATTTTAAACTGGTTCTTAATATCAAGATAGCTTTTAAATGTAAACAGCTTTTAAAGAACACCAGCACAGAATTCCATCTGTCAAATTTTCCTTTAGCTGCGCAATGAAACAAAATAACACACTCCATTTATACTCACAGGTTGTAGCTGTGGTGGCCAGGTGGCAAAAGTCCTCTGTGATATTTCTCAGTGACTGCTTTCCGTTGCTAAATTGCTGAATACGGACCTGAAGATTACGTTCAGCTCCAAGTGTCTGGACTGTGTAACCCTCTGCCTCTACTACGGCCTTTTATTCTCTCAACTGGCCTATCCTCCACGAGATGGGAAATTCCGTGTAGAAAAAAAATTTCTTGGAAAACCCCAGGATCTAGCCCTCCCACACATTAAGCCTGATGTTTCCCCTTGCCAAATCAACCCTCCCTCAAAGACACACTGTACTGACAAACTGCCAAGTGCTGCATTACTTAGTTTTACTGACAGAAACACACAATTCCAGGATATCAGGAAGGAGTGAGATGGTTAGTTTGAGTTAGTCGCATGAATTAGCAGATTCCAACTTGTCACCTAGTATAACGTTTTGCAGCAAGGACATGCCGGTGCTTTTGGGATCTCAGTAAGAAAGGCACCGACACTCAGACACTTGTTAACTAAGTTTGAGTAAAAGGTAAAAACTGCAGCATTGAATAAGCCCTTCCTTGTGGATCACAGCATGCTGGGCAGAGTTCTCACTTCTGATAAGTGTTGCCAGCCCCAGAATCGCTAGTACTCTATCTAGAGTCTTGCTCACAATACAGATTCATCAGTCACTTGTAGCAGTCAAGCTTGGAATGTGGACTTAGCTTTGAAGAGTCCCTTGGACCATATGTTCCAATACCCTTACCTCAGTAGAGTTACAATTCCTGAACAGGTGCATATAATATTTCAGGTGGACAAGACAATACACTAGTCTCGTACTGAATTCATGCACATTTATTGTGTATACACTGATTAATTATGCTACTGCATGGTGTCTGTAGTACAGAGACACATGCCTGAGTAAGCACGGACACTGCTATAGGGGGTTGGTAAGCCACCACAGCCTGTTCAGAGAGCACCTGCACACAGGAGAAGGCAGTAAGCCTGAGGATCACCGATTCCTTGCACAATAGTCTTCTGGCTGCACCACTCCACTCCTTGATCCTCATGCATATCTTCACACATATGCACTTTAGTGGTAAGTTGAGTGACTTGCCACGCTACATACAGAAGTAGTTTTGGAAATTCTCACTTAAGTATCCTTCTCACCTCTGTTACAGGAGGTCTCCCAAATACTGTTGAGGGCTATAAGTAGGGAACAGGCAACACGATTAATAGACACATTAGCTCGGTTCTCAGCGTGATACTAGAAGCTTGCCACAGAGTCCACATTCCCCAGCACTCCCAACCCTGGTTGATATGAAGTGGTACTATTCCCTTGCTCCCTGATCAGACAGGTCACCCCACCCCTCGTTCCATGTCCGCTCAGGCACTTACTATGGAGGCTCCACCAGACAGTCCAGTTGCCAAACTGGTATTCCAGGAATAAAGATTCACCATTATGAGTGAAGTTTAACAAGGCTCAACATGCAAAGGTCTGGGCCAGCCTTACTTAGAACCATCAGGCTTCCAGAGACTTCCAGGTAGCATCAAATGAGGACTGATATTTCTTTAGCCTCAGCTACTCATCTGTAAAATGGGAGCTAAACATTTCCTGTCTGCTGACCTTTCTCTATCTGTGTTCTTCAGATCGTAAACCCTCCTAACAGAGACATGGTACATCATGCAGCAGGGCCTAATTCCACAGGGGTTCTGTAAATGTTACCCTAATACAAGCTAATGATAATGAGTTTTGATAGGGCAGCCATTTTTTTTTTCCCTCTCAAACATTGACCAGCTGTTATAACTGTATACACAGAAAAATTACAGACAACTCCAGAACCATTTATATCCTCTCTGGAGTCAGGAGGCAGAAAATCCTACACCTTTTCCTGGAGATTCACTTTTTCAGTTGTTTTATGAGCTTCCTGCTGGTAAGTGCTCTTCCTTGTCATGGCAGAAGCTCTGAAGTTGAGTGGAGGAAACTTTATCAGAATCACTTTGCCAGTGGAATCTCCGGAGGAAGGAAAAGAGTGTTTCACAGTTTACAATAGTCTTCCTTCACAGGGGCTGTCTGAGACCTCTTGTCTGTAGAAGATTAAAAAAACCACACATACACATAGAAAAAAAAACATCACCAAAGCCTAAAAGCAATACGCTTGTAAAAACTCCAGCCTTAAAAAAAGACCGCCTCTTTTTGTTGGCAGTATTCCCTTATATGACAATGACATGGGGCTCTTTTTGGTTTTTCCCAGGGAATTCTGCCATCCACCGATCATATTTTTATCTTCATTTAATATAATGGAAGATGAATACAAATGCAAAATTTTCAGAAAAAAAGCAAGCCTGCAAAGCATTTTCAAAAGCACACAAACTGAGAGGTTAAAATCTCTTTATTAAAAGTCAAAGACACTTAAAAACCTCGACCCTGTTGCTTAAGAAGACTGGGATTCCTGTGAGCTACAGCTCATTGGATCTTAAGTTACATAGATAAGTACTTCAGGAAAAATACCTCTAATGCAGTTACTTAGGTTAAACTGCAGATATTAAAACTAGAAATGCCATCAAGCCTGCCTCCTAGCTGGTTTCTATGTTACTGAATTATTCTCTTCTCATTGTTATTTCATATTTGTGGGTTTTTCTTCCTTTGCCAATTGATCTGAGAATGTAAGAGCCTCGTTTCATGTGCTGTACTGAGCTGGGTGCACTTGTCCACTCCCCTCTTGTGCTATATGAACACAGACATAGCTCCTTCAAATGAAACCAATTCCTCTCTTCCAGAAAAACAGGAGACAATAAACCTAAATCAAGGCAAGTTTTTAAAAATGCTGAACACTTCTTCCTGTTCACTCCAGATCTTCATTTCCACAAGTGAAAGTCCCGATTTTTACAAGGGAATATGAATACTCCAGATCACATTTTTTCCCTTACAGAGGCACCTAACAGGGATTATCTAGCAGCAACTGATTTTCCAGTTGAAGGTTTACTTGATAGGCCATGATGAGACATAAAAGGTAAGAAAAGGCTATATAAACACATTAGGAGTAATAATAACAAAAGACAGTCAGGTCTGCTATTTAAAGAAGGGCAGCGATTGTCAGAGGACATGTCAAATGTCATTTCTTTCTACACAAAGAAAAGTTAACATAGTCGCTGCAATGGTGTTATGCATTGGGAAAAGAGAACAGGTCAGAGTACAGAAAGACTGGAGTGAAGATTATTTAGGTTAGTTACAGCCAATCAGATTACTGTTTAAGGATCCAAACCCTCAGTAATTACATTTGAGAGTATGGGGAAAGGTGTCAGAGGGCTCACGAAAAGTAAATATTGCCTGTGTATTTAGGAAAGGAAGATCATGGTAATTGGAAGTTAGGCCTTCCACATAATAACCTAGAAAAGATACTAGAACCATACTGAAAAAATTTTAAAGAAAACAATTGAAAAAATCAGCAGAAGGCTACTAAGCTGTCAAGAACAGCTGACACTGATATGATTGATTTATCCATGGCAGATCAATCTAGTTTGTACTTCAACGTTGAGTGAGAAACAAAGAAACAATAATGCGATATATTTTGCTATAATTAAGACTTTAAATATTGTCCCATGAGACATTCTTATAAGGAAACAAGTGAGATAGGGCTCAGCTGAAATCACCATAAAATGAACATGCAGGGGATGTAACCACTACTCAGAGGGCAGTTTTTCAAAGATCACTGTCAGTCTGAGAGGGCTATATAAATGAGCCCTGCAAGGGATTATCCTGAACTAACTTGGGCTAATTTAAGTTGGATGGAAAATTATCACCTAAAATGCTCAGAAAACTTGCAGATGACACAAGGCTTTGAGGAATTGCAAGAGTTCCAAGGGACCAACGTAGGACTCAAATTCAGATAAATTAGAGACGTGAGCCAAAAGAAATGGGGACAAATCAATAGAAACAATCACAGTGGTCTTAATCTAAAAAAAAACCAAACCCACAACATAGAAAGAAACTGGGAAAATACTGGCTAGGCAGGACAACTGTAGAAAAGGAACTAGGATTTATAGCAGATCACAAGTTCAATATGGGTTAATGATTTGTTGTAATTTTTTAAAAATAGGAAATACTGTTCTGGTATGTATTAACAGGAATGTTTTATTTAAGACAAAATTTGCAATTGTTCCATCCAATCTGCCATTGCCAAATCTCATCTAGTATACTGCACCTAATCTTAAATGCCACAATTTTAGAAAGCTACAAGCAGACAAAATACAGTCAAATTCTGAGCAACACAGTCATTACATTATTTAGAATGAGTTCAAAGTTTTATTCTCTTTTGGAAAAAAAACTAGAAACATCTCATAAAATCTTGATACCCTGCACTATTTTCATAACAAAAACAAAAAATTAAGATTTACTAATTTTATTTCTTATGAACATCCTCATTCTGTTTGCTTCCCTGAAAACACATATGAATGCTTGTCTGACTTGTGATCTAATCTTCTGAACTATCAGCTCTCTACAGATTACAAGTAGTGGTTGGATTGATTTGTACTGACAGAGTTTTAAAGAGCATGTTTCTAAATAAGGAGGCCATGAAATGCTAGAATGAGAGTTTAGCAGAGTCTAGCTTTCTGTTGGAAGTTTTTAAGTCTTGGTTTGAGAAACATTTGTCAATATATTTATCAGTATCTTATGAAAATGGGATGCAGTGGGAAATTATTTTAGATTACCTAAAATTCTCTGTTGAACTTGCTGAAATCACAGAAATAAGAGAAATACAGAATAAAATGGGATGTCAGGTAACCAGAATATATACATGTATGTATGTACATATAGAAAGAGACAGAGATTAATTTTCCATGTCTCTCTTAAAGAATGGTTCTTTACCTACATTATAAGATTACATCTGCATTTACATATTTCTAAATCTCTCTTTTTAAACATTTTTAATGATGTTTTTATGTTTCTTCTATCTAAAAATAGAGAATTAAGTACCTCTGATCAATCCAGTTCCATCTCTCTTCTAGGAGCTATATTTGTCATTCCTAAATTAAAACACTTTGTATGTATTTGTGCCAAAATAGTTTGTACAAAAAACATTTATCCCATGGCAAAGAGCTGCAAAACTACTTGAAATTTTGAAGTAATGGAA